TAAATTACAAGCTTAATTGATAAATCTTGAGAAAGCAGTAGATTGATTTCTAGATTGCTACTCCATGGGAATTGAAAGATAAATAATTAGGATCTTATGGAATGATGGTGTGGATTCCAATACCTTAGTTATTTTTCTTATAAGTTTAAATCTTAATTTCAGTTTATTGTCATTTCCATATTTGTTTTATGCTTTATTTAATTTTCTTTATCAACAAACAAATCACCATTTGAATCAACTAGGTTGGCAATGAAATTAACTTGGGTATAATTGGTTTTCTATCTTTTCACGCAATCCCTTGGGTACGATCTCGCTCTTACACGCTTATGCTATATTCGATTCGTGCGCTTGCGAGTTTATAAATTTAAAAAGAAACCTCTTTTGAGGCACAACAACCTGCTCTCTGACATCATCACCGCCAGAGCTAAGAAGATGCACAAACATGGGGACCGCACCATGTTCAATAACAACTCGTGTATGATCTGATGTTCCAGATGCAACATTGGTCAAAGCCCATGCAGCTTCAAACTGCGTATAAAAATGAAAGTCAACCTCGGTGTTTGATTACACCTTAAAGGATAACAAACTTAAAAATTACTCCATACTTGCAATTGGGGCATATCATGTCTTCCAAGAAACTCCACCAACCGAGCGACCGCACCTGCTTTTATAACCTCGTCAATTGGAGGGCTGCGTTCTACACAAAAACAAAAAAAGAAAAGTCAAGAACATCACACGAGTATTTCACCTAAATAGGAATAGGAAATGAACTTCAAGTATTGGAGCTGCTCCCAAACCAATTGATAATAGCTTCCTAAACTGAGTGGTAGCCTCCAATTGCAAAGCAGGATCATCAGACCATACTCCTTGCACCATTGAGGGAATACTTTCCAACTGTTAAACAACACCAACATCAATTAATGACTAAACCTTTAAATATAAGATCAAATTGCAAGAAGAGGAACATAAAGAGTCATCTTTCTAAAGATCTCATGCATGAACATTCTTCTTTTCCCCCAGGACTTGAATATAGAATCAGGCTATACAACTTACTTCTTGAATAAGGAATCAAGCTATACAATTTACTTCTTGAATAAACAGAAAATTCTCCGTTGCCTAAAGCAAACTATCGATTCAACATCCCTTATAATCAAGTTCTTATAAAACGGTAATTCTCATTTTTAATTCCGTTCCCTTTCCTTCACTTTCTCAGCAACCAAGCACATCCATACAATCTAAACCCACACCAATTCAAACCAAAAAAATCAAATGAACACAAAGTATTACCAAGAAGATTTAAAAATAAAATAAAACTAAGTAGTACCCTCTTCTGGAAAACGACGGCTGTTTGGGTGCCATCAAGCAGTTGCTGATGGGACGGAGGCAAGCCTTCCCTTCTCTTCTTGAGCAAATTGTCCTCGCGCTTGTTCTTCCTGATCTCCACCAAGTTGTCCTCGCTTCTCCTCCGAGCCTGGTCCGCATCCACTCCAGCCTTGTACGATTTCTTGCGCACCACGGTGCCTGTGCCCGGGCAAGGAGGCATTGTCTTCTGATTTAGATTATGGTTCGCTTTCGGTTCTCTGTAACGCTCGAAAATGTTTGATGAATTACTTTAAAGAAAGCACAGCGAAGAAATGGATTCAGTTTTCGGGGTGGGGGGAATATATAGGCATGTTTGTCGTTTTGGCGGGATCGTATTTGTATATCTGACGACGAAAATACATTCTATCTTCAAATCTATAATATTCGATAACACGATTTACGGCTCACCTAAGATAGGAGGACTTGTAATTTAAATTTGGCAAATCTCAGCCGCCCGTTCAATAGCGTATAGGCTACGAAATCTAACAAATGACGTAATTAATAATTTTCTTTTTTCCTGTTGGGATACCTTTCTTTACCAAACTAGAAAAATAAATAAATCTAACAAATGAATTATTGGAGGAGAATATGTCAAACCGCCTACGTAACATTGGGGTGGGCATCGGAACTGAAGAATCGATCAACCGAACCAAATCGGATAAAAAAAAAGAAGGAAAAAAACCGTGTTGACCAAAAAGTCAAACCCAATTCAAAAATCGAACCAAACCAAACCGGTTCTAACCGATTCCCGTTCCGGTTCTATACCCCAACAAACCGAACTGGCCAAATTAAAAAATATATAATTTTAATATTTATTTGTATCCAATGCTATATTTTTAATCTCATAACTAATATTTATCCAAGTTCAATTTCAAAACATCTCTCTTTCCTAGCCTTAATATTTCTTTTTGTATGAAATTGAATAAGTTGTCAATTTTCAAGCTAAAAATAAATAAAATTTCAATAAAAATTTGTATAAAAAATAATAAACATAATCCGGTTCAAATCGAACCGAAACCGATTCAACCCAAACCGAATGGATTTACAAATTTTTTTGTTAAAATCGGACCGAACCAAACCGGATAAATAGTACGGGATTCGGTTCCCATTTGAAGCAAATATCGATCCAAACTGAACTGTGCCCACCCCTAATGTAACAAGCAAGTAAGAAACGCTCTCTCTCTCTCTCTCTCACACACAAACACACACACACACACACACACACACACAATTAACCCTAAACTCGAACCCAAACCCAAATCGACCGTCGTTTTTTCTCTCACAGCCATGGACAACGTCTCATCTTTGGAGTGCCTGAAATTGGATTCCCAGTCGGAGGTGCTCGATAAGGACGGTGGAGAAAATGATCTTTTCTCGCCAGACATGGTCCCCCTCAACTGTGATACACCAATAATCGATATGTATGCTTTTCCTATTTCTTTTGAATCAAGGGTGACCAAGACCATCTTCAATTTAATTACTTGGGCTCAAAAATTATCTTTTTACCTTATGTCCCTGTTCTCATGTATGCTGTTGATTTTTGTTTTAGGATTTGTGAGGAAGATTATATGAAATTTGCTTGGGCTTTATTCTTTGGAAAAAGAGAAAGTGTTGTTTTTATATTATTTTTGGTGTGTGCATGGATAACCGATATTTAATAATATAGTTATTTGTTGATGGGATCATATATGCAAATTCCTACTAATTATTTGACATTATCACCCTTCCCTCCCCCCTGCTTGCAAACAGAGACTAGGACTGAAGAACCAGAGACTATAGAACCAATGGAAGAAGAACTTATTGCTTATTTTTATGAGGGATCCCTCATTTGAGGGACATCCCTTGTAAGGCCTACTCTGGATTGTATTTCATTAATCCAAACCGTCTATTTTCTAGATACTCATTCAAAGATCATCTCTAGGATCCTCTTTTTCTTTTATATATATTTTTTTTTCCAATTTTCATTTGTCGATAAGAGAAGTTTAGAGCATTATCCATTACTATTAGACCATTATTCGAGTCTCTATTGTTTCCTTTTTATTTTTTACTTTTCTAGAGTTATTACGCATATTGAGAATTGAGCACTTTCACGTTTAATACTATATTTTACATGTATGTACCTATTTTTCAATAATACATCTATGCTTTGCATACGTCTTAAAGAGTTGGTAAAAGTCACATTTAAAAAAAAAAAAAGCAAAAGTACAATACTCGTATTAAACATGTACATACATATTTTTCATGTTTAATGTACGTATTTTTTACACAATTTTCAATAATACACAACAAAACTCACGTATTACACACATAATTCTCACATATTATTGAATACAAATATTATATATGAAATTTTTTAAATAAATTATATTAAAATATTATATAGTGGCCAAATTTTAAGTTGTAATTTACCAAAATTTTGCCAAATAAAAAGTGTATGTATTTTATTCATATAGCCGCCCGGCTATTCCAAATTAATATCTATAAAGTATAAACTAATGCAACTAGGAGGGTCCTTTTTCGATAATTTTTTTTTATTAAATAGTATAGCTGAGCGACTATACCATTTACATACAAAATACATTTATCATACCTAATGGCACAAAAACATAATATCCCTGGCCTTTAAATTTAGGGAAATAGCGCTTAATATGCCACTATTTTTTTAATTTTAACTAGAAATACCACATTTCCCCACAAATTTTGCAAATATCACCTGTAAATACATACTTATTGCCCACTTATCGGCCAGATAACACTTTTGATCAGTTTTTTGTTTTTGTTTTCTCTCTCTCTCTCTCTCTCTCTCTCTCTCTAACTACACCTCTTCTCACAAAGAAGAAGATCAAGAACAACCTATAAAAGCCATAACTTTGCCCTCAAAACCCTGTTCTTCCTCTTTCTCCCTGTTTTCTTCTCTACCCAAATCCAAACCCCAACTTCGTCTCTCTTCGAATCCCTTCTACAACCTAAACAAACCCAAAAAAAACCATCTTTTCTGAATATTACAGCATGTCTTGGCATTAGGTGGCCATTGTTTGAGCATTTGGGTCTAATTTTGGGGGGTTTTGAAGTCAGGGTTTACAAACAAGAACAACTTCTCCAGAAAAGAATTGTTGGGAATATGTAAGTTTTGATGTTAAATTGAATTTGATTATTGAAATTGGAATTGTGATTGATTTCGTCTGTATTTTGTGTAGAAAGTGAAGTATTGTGATTGATTTTGTTTATCTGAAACAACAAATGTGTTTGTTCTTTGTCGATTGATTCTTTATTAGGATTTTCTATGAACTTATGATTTTATTGCGGTTGTATTGTGGTGGTATTGCTTTTGAATTGCTATGGTATTGTTGTTATATTGATTTTTTGTGTGTGGTGTTTTATTGATATGTTACTGTAATTTAATAGGAATATATGTTGATATCATTTTTCTTTATTTTCTTGTGATTTGTGTAGGAGTTGATTATTCTTGGCTGAAGTATTATTTCCAATGTCTCTCTCTCTATGCTCTTCGTATTTTTCTCAACATTTATGTGTTAATTTAATGCATGGTATTGTTTTGGAACCATAGTCATTGTCAATCTCATTGTTTCTTTAAAAGATTGCTGTGAAATTGTTACTCCATTTTCTTCTTTCCTTTGTTTTAAGATTTTTTTTTTTGTAGAAAAAGAACTCTGTTTTTGGAAAAAAAGAACTCAGTTTTTGTAATCTAAAAGACTAGGTATCTATGTCCCACATCTTGGGACTAATGGAATGTGCTTTTTGATATTGTAGTAAGGTTGATTAAAGTAATTAAAAAAGTGGTAAGGTATTACCTAATTACATGTATTTAATTGAAAAAGTTGGCCAAAAAAGAGAGTAAAGAAACTAATTTTATATTTTAAAATTTTAAAAATAAAAGGCAGAACAACCTCTCCCGACGAAATTTCGTCGGCACAGGTTCACAGACCTCTAACGACGATAACACCTCTGCTGACGAAATTTCATCGGGGGAAACCTAAATCGGCAAATGTTTGCGGCATAGAGCTGTGCTGACGAACTTTTGTCAGGAGAGGTTTAAAAAAAAAAAACTAAATATAAACTCAGTATAATTTAGGTCAATAAATTTTATTTTATTTTTTCAAATTTTATTTTTATTAATTAAACAATGTCTTAGCCTGATTTAATTACTTTCATTAGTAATTATGTTCTAACTATTATTTCTCTAGTGAATAATTAGTATTAAATATTTTAATTAACATCATAAATGATATTACTTAATAAATAGTCTTTAGTTGTTAAAATTTTTGAATTTGATAAAATTCTTAAATACTAATTATTCACTAAGTAAACAATAATTAAAACATAAGTAATAATTAAAGTAATTAAAAAAGAGAAATTCAGATTTTGGTATTTATAGAGTATAGCCAGACGGCTTTACTTAAAAAAAAAATTCTATTTGTAGAGTATAGCCGCGCAGCTATACTCCTTGAAATAAAAATAAATAAATAAATTGGCCCGCCTAGGCGCTATGTGGGTCCTTTTAAATAAAAATAAATAGTATAGCCGGGCGCCTATATGCTTTAAATATCTAATGGATGCCTTTTTGTTTTTAAACTTTTTCTCCTTGATTTTCCTTTGTCGATAAGAGCATCCTCATGGACTCCATAAACCACCTCCTTAGATAAAATTTAAGGAGAAAGTAAGAAAACCCACCTCCAACCATGCTCCCTATCTAGCTCCTAAAATAGGGAGACCTCTAGGAGCTCCTAAATCTGAGGAGAGAGAATGAAATCCTAAAATAACTTTTGTGTGTTTTTAGCTAAATTTTAACTAAAAAATTGAGAGTACGATTGTAGATGCTCTAAATCTAGTCCAGAGCATTATCCATTACGTTTAGGCCATTACCAAGGTATAGCCATTGTCCCCTTTTGATTTTTTAATTTTCCCGAGTTTTTACCAGTATAAAGAATTTAACATTACCCCATTTAATACTCATATTATACATGTACGTACGTATTTTTGGTTAGTACTTCCATTTTCCATATACGTTTTAAAGACTCGGTATAATGAAAGCAAACGTAAAATACACGTATTGTACACATACACACGTATTTTAATGATTATTTAATTTCAAAGAACAAAAAACAAAGTCCACAAAATAATTCCAAACAATTAATTACTATTTACCAAGTAATTTATGAAATTGAGTAAAATATTTAAATATTTGCTAAAGAAATAATAATTAAAACATAATCACTAATTAAAGTAATTAAAAAAGGGGTAAGGTATTACCTACTTACATGTATTGAATTGAAGAAGTTGGCCAAAAAAAAAGAGTAAAGAAACTAATTTTAAATTTTAAAAATTTAAAAATAAAAGGCAGTGAGGGAAAATCAAAATGAGGTTTGGAAATTCATCAAAAGGAGGTAAAGAAACCTACACTTGCTGTCTTGCTTCCTCTTCCCTTTAATACACAAGCCTTTGGACTTAGGAGAAGGCTCCATCTTTTCCTCCCACGTTCTCCCCTTGGTTTCCAGACTTGGACCACAACTTGGGCAGAACAAAGGCTAGGCATAGATAGCTGCAACTTCAGCCACCCTATCTAGAGCTATAGGGTAGGTACTCTTTGAAACAAGTCAACTATCCTCATTCAATGGTGCTCCAGCTTTTCCAGCACCTTGCTAGACATCCTAGAACCCATAAAACTCCTTGGAAGCTCGAGGGATTAGGTAGGAAACCGACACATGTGAAGACACCTTGAAAAACGCATGGAAAAAACAGCACAGCAACACTGGCGACCGGTCGCACATACATTGCGACCGGTCGCGGATACCTTGCGACCGGTCGCTTCCTGCGATTTCTCCAGTTTCGAATCTGTGCAAAAAAGACCGGTCGCCCAAACCTTGCGACCGGTCGCTCACTCCTTCACTTGCATACTAAATGTGAGCCATTTTTCCAACAGTAGTGTGATGCATTTCACTGACCAATAGCCTTTGAAGCTTCAGGCCTTTACCCTGTTTCATCCTAGGGTGTCATATTCTCACATGATCAGGGGAGGATTATATCGGCTTCAATCACAGCCTGTTAAATGGAATTTAATAGACAAAAAATGTAAGAACAGTATCAAGTAACATCCTCCCAGATCAAATTAATTGCGGGACAAGGCAAGAAACAAGATCAAGGAAACTTCCTACAAGCAAAAGTGGGAATAAGAAAACAAATTCCAATACATTTACAGAGACCATTCAAAACATCCATAAAAAATTTATAAGCATTTTCTTTGCCAAGTAATTATATAACTGGTAAGAAACAATTTCAGTCAAAACAAAATAGAAGTGTTAATAAAATAACTCATAAACAAAATCTCCCTTCCTTGTGACAACTAGGCTATGTAAGTGTCTGTCAAGACTTCTTCATCATTTAAGTAAATAAGTTGTCGAAGAATTGGTAAGGCAGGCTTCACCTGAAACAAAAAAACATGCAGATAAGCAAGCAGAAAGGGTACTTATTACAGTCACGTAAGGCATCAACCAAAATTAAATTAGGAAGGGATACCAACTGACATTTAACATATATTATTAAGGTTTTAACCAGAAAAAACTCTCAAAATCCCCACGAACCTGATCAAATGGTGTTGCTGGCTTGCCACGACAAAAGTTTGATAAAGTCCATGTAGCATTCCTTAGCATGGATAACTTGGAATGTTCATTTAATTGAGCCAGCAATGGCATTAGTGCACCTTGTCCAAGAACAAGATCCCTGCAACTAGGAGAGTCGCCAGCAACATTTCCTAGAGCCCATACTGCCTGTTAGAGAATCAAGAAAGCAAGGATTGTCATCTAGTACAATCAAACAAATGGAAATTTCTGGCAGTCAAAAGGAAGAGAAACTATGAGTTGTAGAACCAGTAAAACTTAGAACGCAAAGACGCATATATACCAAAATAATGAGCAGAATACTTTCTGAAACTTATTACTAACTTACATATCATATTGAAATTGGAAAGAATTTCGAACATGCATAACTTAGAATCATTCAGAAAGCCCAAACACTTTTTCCCCATGGTCTGAAGTCAAATTTCTGAAACTTATTAATAACTTATATATCATAACGAAACTGGAAGGTTTTTCAGATATGCATCACTCGAAGTATTTAGAAATTCCAAATCCAAAGGCAATGCTCTCAAGTTGATGAAAAGTGTGAAAGGCACTGAGAGACAACCTGCTCTCTGACATCTGTTGTGAAAATGGACAAACACTTTCACTCACTCCCCTAATGATCTTGTTGTTGATGGACTTTGTGACACACACAATGATGGATGAATCACACACACACACACACACACTTGAGACAACAACCAAGCACAAAGTGACACAAGAATTTATAGAGGTTCAGCAATTGCCTACATCCTCTTGGTGATCCCCTTGAGAAATTCACTTCATGAAAGAATAAGTTACAACTTTGGTTTTACACAGAAAACCCCCTTAGAACTCTATTCTCTCCCCAAGCTCTCTTTTCTCTCACACCCCTTGCTCAACACTTTGATGCACTTGTGAAACACTCTCACAACCCTTGGTGTTTCCCCCCTTT